ACCACACATTGCCCTCAGACATGACATCTCCACTGCCTCCAGCCTTCTCCTCGCTGCAACATTCATCACCCACGCTTCACACCCATATAAGAGCGTTGGTAAAACTATACTCTCATACATTCCCCTCTTTGCCTCCAAGGACAAAGTTCTTTGTCTCCACAGACTCCTAAGTGCACCACTCACTCTTTTTCCCTCATCAATTCTATGATTCACCTCATCTTTCATAGACCCATCCGCTGACACGTCCACTCCCAAATATCTGAATACGTTCACCTCCTCCATACTCTCTCCCTCCAATCTGATATTCAATCTTTCATCACCTAATCTTTTTGTTATCCTCATAACCTTACTCTTTCCTGTATTCACCTTTAATTTTCTTCTTTTGCACACCCTACCATATACATATAAAATATATATGTAATATATATATATATATATATATATATATATATATATATATATATATATATATATATTTATTTATTTATTTATTTATACATATATATATATAGGCAATTTTATTGGCACAAACAAATTTTATAACATGAATCTCCTCAGAAGGTGAATGGGAACCGTGAATGCCACGAGCATTCCCCCTCTGGTTGGCCACACTGACACTCTGGAATAGAAAGGTTGCAGCTCTTGGATCCCAACAGTGTTGACCATCAAGAAATTTGTTATTCGTTGAACTTAGATTCTTCCTTGTCCAATGATGTACAGTTATGTTGAAAGACGTACAATGCACGGAGATGTATGGTCATATTGATAGATACACGACAGTGCCGAAATATGTACGATAATGTATTAAGGTACAAGATTATCTTATCGTATGTCCTCATTCGATATATAAAATCTCTGTATGTTACAATTAATTTCCCCACATTATCGTAGATTTCTCTTCATTATCCACCTTCCTACATTATCGTACATCCTTCTACACTGTTGTACATTTCTCAACATACCAGTACATGTTTGTACAGTTTTGTACATCTCTATTATCGTACATTTGACAAAAGTATGTTCAAAAATTTCTGCTCCCGTCATCAAAGTGTTTTATGAAAATTTTTTAAAAGAAATGTAACTTTGATTCGTAACGTAAAATATTCATTGAAACACAGGTCTGTGGCATTATTTTTTTATTCACTCTTGACTCACATGAACTATACAAATATAATTATATACAATCAATATACAATTATTACACGTATATGTATATTTATATATATACAGTAAAAATTCCTCAGTGATTCCTGAAGGATATTTTTTTCCTAACTTGTTTAAGCCTTAATATATGAATCTTTACTGGTTTTTTTTACTGGCATTCTTTATTGAAAAAGATGTCTTTAAAATCTTTATTTTTTTTTTTTTAGTTTCTCTTCTTATTAAGAAAGTGTCTTTAAAAATACTCTACTTGTGAATGAGGTAATATAACTTTACTGTTGTTGTTTTTTGAGACAAGCTCATCACTTTCTTCGAAATTATCCATATACATGGATGCGTACATCCATATACATGAATATCCATATATATGGTTGCATATACCCATATATATGAATATCCATATGCATGGATGCATATATCCATATACATGGTGTAATGGAAACTTAAATTCTGTAAACATTGTGTACACTTTCATCATTATTGCCTACATGGGGAAGCGCTAAACCTCTAAGGGTCATACAACCCTCGGGGGGAATGGGCATTTAGGTTCGACCCAAAGGGAGGGAAGATCCAATTCCTTGGATCAACAACTTCTCAGAGGCATCAAGAGGAAAAAAAGGGTCACAAGATTTCCTTGACAGGTAAACATACTTCCTCTATACACAGAATAATAGCCATGAAGAACATTTCCCAATTGATTTCATGGACTAATTATGCATAGCCTAGGTTATGCATAATTAGCCCGTTCAACCTGTTGTCCATGCAACAGGGAGCCTTGATGCTGTTGCAGAACTCTTGATACAGAGAACAGTTGTTCCCTTTGCCTTGGCGTTGCATGACCCTTTGGGGTTCTGTGCGTCACCAAAATAATGGAGAAAGTAACCAGTCATGGAAGCTTCGTATTTCAAACAAACGATGATCAAATTAATTTGTCAGTATATGGGGTGGTAGGAGTAGTAGTATATTCAAACAGTTTAGCGGAAAAGGTTAAAAAAAATATTCCTCAAACCTTTTTACCTATTTCTCCAAGGTTACGGATCCCCATATTTGCACTAGAGGTGGACTGCATTTGCATGTTTAAAAATGGTAAAAGATATAAAGTCTAATGATTTTATTGACGTTTTCTTTATCGCCAACTTGCGATACTCAGAGTGCTGGTATCAGTGTGTTTCATAATTGTTAATGTTTTCATTTTCAGTATATATAAAAAAAAAAGATATTCACAACAAATATGATTATTCAAAATTACACTCTGCACAAGTCAGGGTAATTATTTTTTTTTATGTACACCGGCGGTAGCTTAACAATTTGTTCCTAATATAGGATCCAAACAGCGTATAAAATATCACAACAGTATCCTGCAGGATACAGGAAGTATATAAAATGCCTTAACTCTAAAGAAGCTTGTTTTCATTCAACACATCAAAGAACACTGAGGGTGAAGAAAATAGCTGTAATACTCACTAGATCCTACCACAGCTAAGGTTTGCCGATGATGCAGCCTCAAATAAATATTACTGCACCACGAGTAAAAGGACACAGTGCCGTTGTGCATCACTCAAGTGTATTTTGCAAGGCAGAAAAAAAAGAGGGCTTGGAACACGAACCGTGACTCCAGCAAAGAAGCTGCACTGTACAAATATGACCAGAACTTACAACATACAAAAGCTAAATGACTAGTGAACAGTTCGAGAGAAGTAATGATGACGTACAACCTGTACGTGCTGTAGATACATTTCTAAGTGTACGTGAAAATACAAAATTATGACTATGAACACACTCGGTTTAGTGGCAACTGGAAGTGTTTTGAGAGAGGTTTCTGGGCAACCTATATTTTGTTCATTACGTTTATTCTTCTGGTATTCTTTGTGAGGCTTTTGTATCTCAATTTTAAAATTCAAATGTAATTCCAATCACAATAAAAAATATAATTAACAAGGTAAAACATTTGCTAAACTAGAATTAAGCATGCCCAGCGTAAAAAAAAATAATGAAAGTTCACAAGAATTGCCGAAAGAGAATTTTATTATGAAGTTTTACTTTAAAAATTATTTTTAAAGAGTGAGAGAGTTTATCACTAGATTAAAAAAAAAATAGAAAGCTTCCACAAGCTCATTGTAAACTGAAAGTAGCAACTTTCAAGCTGTGGAAGAAGTCTCCCAGGCATTGCACTAAGCACCGATGTCTTCGTGTCCAGAGTTAAGGGTACTTCTGGCTGTTGTGTCGAGGGCTCTCAAGGACCTGAAGAATGTGGGCCGACGAGACCTGTGTCGATTAAAACTGATTTTTGCCGTTCTTTGAGGTTTCTCAGTGTTCTTGAGCACTTGTCACTGTTCCTCTTTTTCCTAGTTTTGGGTTTTAAGTTAACTCCCACTGACCGAGTTCTTTGCACTGTTCTTGTCAATTTTGCAACTTTTTATTTTTAAGTGGTTGGGAAAGGGGACGGGGGATAAAAGGAAAATAATTTGGGGGATAGGGAGGGGGATAATTTTTGTTTGGAGGCCAGAGGAAAATATTAGTGAAATATTTTAATCAATGTTTAAAATTTCAGCCATGTTACTATATTATTTATCAATCGGAGGACTATGCCTTAAACTATCTTTCATATTGCCCTTACTTATCACGTTTCTTGACTTCCATGACATTCTTATCTTTTTTCTTACCATCTTCTCTCTTCCCATCCTTCTTTCCGTCCTTATTTTTGTTTTTCTTAGCACCAGCGGAACCTACTGCTCCTCCTCCTCCTCCTTCTCCTCCTCCTGCCTCCTTGTATCAGATGAAGCTGTTAAGCTGTTGGTGGAAGGCAGCGAGATAGTCCAGGATGAGCTTAGCATGGGGTCGGTCGTGGGGATGAATTGCCCAACAGAAGGCCATCACCTTGTAGAGGTCGTCGGGGCAGTTAAGAGGTTGAGCCAGACGGTACCCATCTCGAAGGTATTCCCCCATTTCGCACGCTGCCACCTCCACGTACGGCTGCTGAGCCAAGGTCGTTAGTTCCCACAGGAGGACACCATATGACCACTGTGTGGGAGAGAGAGATTATGGTGAGTTGCGTTGGAAACGTTAGTAGCACTAATAGTAGTACTATAATTTATCTGAAATCCAATAGGCTTTTATTTTACCAAAGGACATCCAGTATATGGCCTTCATATCGAATAAGACCCAAGTGACTGGTGAGTAAGGACTCAATAAGATTTTAGTAAGAATATTTAGCACACATAATCTACCGGACCAGTAGCTCCTAACTAACTTTTCAGCACTAGCGGTCTGTAACTGATTCCTACCAGTTATGATGCTACCAGGTATGATGCAACCAGGTATGATGCTACGAGGTATGATGCAACCAGGTACGATGCTACCAGGTATGATGCAACCAGGTATGATGCTACGAGGTATGATGCAACCAGGTACGATGCTACGAGGTATGATGCTACGAGGTATGATGCTACCAGGTATGATGCTACCAGGTATGATGCAACCAGGTATGATGCTACGAGGTATGATGCAACCAGGTACGATGCTACGAGGTATGATGCTACGAGGTATGATGCTACGAGGTATGATGCTACGAGGTATGATGCAACCAGGTATGATACTACGAGGTATGATGCTACCAGGTATGATGCTACCAGGTATGATGCAACCAGGTATGATGCAACCAGGTATGATGCAACCAGGTATGATGCTACCAGGTATGATGCAACTAGATATGATGCTACCAGGTATGATGCTACCAAGTATGATGCAACCAGGTATGATGCAACTAAGAATGATGCAACCAGGTATGATGCAACTAAGAATGATGCAACCAGGTATGATGCAACTAAGAATGATGCAACCAGGTATGATGCTACCAGGTATGATGCAACCAGGTATGATGCTACCAGGTATGATGCAACCAGTCTCAAATATACAAGTGTAACTGAAGTTGAATGTTTTCAATAAAAAAAAATTATGGATCTTGTACAAGTACATGGATTTCTTTCATGTGGCGCACTAGTGAAAAAGAAGACTGTGACACCCTTAAGGGATGGATGGAGGATCTACTCTACATCACTCCTTGCATTCAATGACTCCCTCGGGTTTAGTGGTTCGGGGGCTTTTTTTTTTTTTTTTTTTTGCATTTCTAGTTCTATATTGTCAGTCCCTTGTCTTGACAACATTATCCCTGTTCTGTTCATGAGGAAGCGCTAAACCTTCAAAGGTCATGAAGAGCATAGAAAATAGGAAGTAATTAGGTTTAACCAAAGGAAAGGGAACTTTAATTTGCCAACCACAAGACACTCTTCCCGAAGGAATTAGGCTGACGACTCACCACGTCACTTGCGGTGGAGACGACTCTGTCGGTGATGGCCTCGTAAGACATCCACTTGATGGGTCTGGCAGCTTCGGATCCGACCGACTCATAGTCTGTCGGAAAGAGATCTCTGGAGAGCGCGGCGTCGGTGATCCGCAGCTGCAGCTTCTCGCTCACACTGTGGACGGGAGACGAGTGAGGTTCTTAAACGAAACTTCCGTGTGTTGGCGCACAAAGTAGAGTATTAAGAACAAAAAGGCACAATACCGTGACTGGAACAATGCATAAATAACCCGCACATAGGAGAGCCAATCTTACGACGACGTTTCGGCCCGACTTGGACCGAATCCAAATCGAACCAAAACGTCGTAAGTTCTCTCCCATGTGCGGGCTATGTGTGCGAAGTAGAACATGTTATCCGTTATGTGTTAGCGGTTCTGGGCATTATCTTCCTCATAGCCGTAGCTTTGACCAGACCTCTTAAGTTGATAAAAAAAAAGGAAATATAACAGCATTAAGAACAATTAGGTAACATACAATAAAGTGAAAGAGTATATATATATATAGTGAATGCAATTCAAGGTAAGATTTACCTGTCATCTTACGTGCTCATAAAACAGAGTAAAGACCAGAAGTCTTACTAGAGTGCAAAAAAAAAAAAAGTTAAAGGTATTTATTTCACTCTCAATTATCAGCACGATAGTACCTCCCAGGATGGTTGCTGTCTACTATCTTACTAGTATACAAACTTCTACTGTCCATCCCTGTATTGTCAGTCTTAAAACCGATATTTGCAGGTCATGAACTGTTTTCCTCTTTGGCTTGCCCAGTCTCACTTTTTTTCTCTCTTTAGATTCTATCACCCTTTCTTCTCCTATCCCACCCCCTTCCTCTTTTATTCCTTCTCTTCCCTCCTCTATTCTTCCTCTTGCTCTTCCTCCCCCCCCCATCCTCCATCCCTGTCCCTTCGCGATACCTTCCATTATTCCGTCACTCCTTACCATCTCTCTCTCTTTTCCTTTCTTATTCAATTCCTATTTTCCCTTTCCTGCCTTCTTACCCTCCCATCACTCCACACATTCAATTTTGTTCACAAAATACACTGAACAAGCGACCAGCTATACTCGTCTACTCACACACAGTTCCTGGCAGCCAGGTCACCGTGGAGGAGGTTGGCTGTGTGTAGGAAGGACAGTCCATGAGCTGCCTGCACCGCCAGCTCCACCAACTCCGACGCCCTCAGGTGGCCGCCCCGGTGCTCCTGAAGGTACCTGCAGGGAAGAGTAAGTGTAAGTCGTCTGGAATAGCAAAAAAAAAAAAAAAAAAAAAAAACGTTAGTGAGAATTCGGCAGCATAGGAGAGCAATGTAATGAGGAAATTTTAGAATGGAGAGAGAGAGAGAGAGAGAGAGAGAGAGAGAGAGAGAGAGAGAGAGAGAGAGAGAGAGAGAGAGAGAAATAGGCACGGGAAAATTATGAGGGTGTTAGTTCACAAATGGCCTAATATTTGTTTTATAATGACCATATTAGTATCAATAACACCATCCTCTACTCGGAAGACTAATTTATGTCAAACCTATTAATTCATTCTTCAATTCCCTAACAATTCTTAACCAATGCCGGTGTTTATATATATATATATATATATATATATTAGGGAAATGACCTGACCTCCTTCTCTAATCAACTTCTTGACCCTACAAGCAGCCTTAAAGTAACATCTGGTTCTTTTAGATCAACCCCCGTTAGTCCCTTGATGCCTATATATAGCAAAAAGGCACAATACCGTAACATGCACATAGGAGAGAGGAGCTTACGACGACGTTTCGGCCTTTGTAAATGGTCCAAGTAGGACTGAAATGTCGCCTTAAGTTCCCCTCTCCTATGAGCGGGTTTGGCGATTTGCGTGTTTAGAAATAATTTTCGCGTAATAATTTGGCGATCTGCGTATTCGCAGAAATTATTTTCATCGTGATAATTTGGTTATTTGCCTTTACAGAAATCATTTCGTTACGGAATCGCCTGTTACAATAATCTCTTACGATATTCTTGAGTCCTTCACAATTTCCATTGTTTATTTGGGATCTTGTGAAGCATTAATTACTAATTATTCTTATTTATTAATCTTATTTTTATTATTATATTTCTTAGTCTGAAAAATAAAAAGCTGGACTCAAATATTTATCGCTAATGCAATTTTTTGCTGTTTATAAGTTTATCTCGAAAATTTGCAGCCTTTAAAATATTTTCGGGGAGGACAAAAGGGATTCCCAGCGCTTCACGTAATTTTTTTTAATTATGCAAATTGTCAAATTATCTTTGTGTTACGTGAGAAAGACCATTACATTTGTAGGAGCAGTAATATGACTCTACTGCTGTCACTGGTTTAAATGTTGTTGGTGGTGGTGGTGGTACTGTTGTTACTGCTGCAGCTGCTGTTGTTGTTACTCATGCTGCTGTTGTTACTGTTGCTGCTGTTGTTGTTACTGATGCTGCTGTTGTTACTGTTGCCGCCGTCGTTACTGCTGCTGCTGTTGTTGTTACTCCTGCTGCTGCTATTACTGCTGCTGTTGTTGTTACTGTTGCTGTTGTTGTTACTGCTGCTGCTGTTGTTGTTACTGCTGTTGTAACTGCTGCTGCTGTTGTTACTGCTGCTGCTGTTGTTGTTACTACTGTTGCTGTTGTTGTTACTGCTGCTGCTGTTGTTGTTACTACTGCTGCTGTTGTTGCTACAGTTGTTGTTGTTACTGCTGCTGCTGTTGTTACTTCTACAGCTATCACTCACTCTTGATGCCAGGGAAGGGCTCTTGATATGAGGAACTGCACCTATCCTCCCTTTCCTTGGATCGAAAATGATTGCTTACCATTCTTCCTGGCAGTGTATGATTCACCGCAGGTCAAGAGCACTCCCATGAATAAAACAATAATAATAATAATAATAATAATAATAATAATAATAATACATGTAACTATCACTACTGAAGTTACTGCTACTACTACTGCCGCCGCTGCTACGACTTCAATATTTTCAGATATTACAACTATTACTACGAATATTTTTCTCTGCTACAGCTACAAGGACAGCACCAGCGTACTTTTGGCGGAGGAGGAAGGCGGTAATTCCCTAGGAGTTATACAGCGGATGGGGATATGGAAGGCAATCAGGTTTGATTCAAAGAGGGAGGTTTAAGATGTCAGTCTCTGGACAACGAAACCCCTCAAGGAAGGTTCCTTGATGTTGGTGAGGGACTCTTGATTTAGGGAATTGGATCTGTGCTCCAGTTCCCCGAATTAAGCCTGAATGCCTTCCACATATCCCCCCCCCCCAGGCGCTGTATAATCCTCCGGGTTTAGCGCTTCCCCCTTGATTATAATAATAATAATAATGGACAACGAAAGCCTCGCCTGCGTTGAGGAAACTGCTCAGTTGAGGAGTGACCCAAGAAACACAACCAACATTCGCACGCACGGACAGTCTAACAATTCAGACTTCATTTGAAACATTCTCTGTGTCGTTTTACTGGGATAATCACTGAAGATTGAAACATTTTGAGCAGGTATTCTAAATTTGGTGCCCCTCAACGGGGCTTCCTTGATGCTGGTGAAGAGCTTTTGATGTATCTTTCTCTTCCATGGATCAAACCTGATTACCAAGGTAGCCACCAGGTCTGGTACTCACTGTATATCAGTTACCATAGCTTAGTGGTGAAAGTCGCGGCTCTCATCACCGAGGTCAGGAGATCAAATCTCCGGCCAGAAAAGAATAATACTCACTGTTTCAGGTTATGGTAGCCGTGGAAGGGGTAGATGAGGAAGGGCGACGAGTTATCAGCGAAGGAGATTCCAACCATGGTCAGCACGTTCCTGTGGTAGAGGTTAAAGAGGTGGGTTCCCTCCCGGTAGAGGGCGACTACTTCGTCGTGAGGGGCTCCCTCCGTCACCGTCTTGATCAGCACCTGCTGGTCCTGCTCAGGGCGGTCTCGCTGGATCCAGCCCCGGAACACCCGCCCGAAGGAACCCTCGTGAGCCACGGCTGTCAGACGCACCCGCGGCCGCTCAACCTTCAGGTAGGAAAGTGTAAATACCCGTTAAAGTATATATCTTGATGCCGGTGAGAGACCCAGGAGCTAAGAGTCAAGTTGTGAAATCTATCCTGGGCCTCTTGCAGGCGTTGATAAGTAGCTCCTGATCCTTTGAGGATGTTAAACTATAGAAACTACACATTTTTTAGGGTTTTAAGCTACAGGTGCTACGCTTCTTGGGTTGAACTGAAGCTCCTGGGCCTCTTGAGAGTGTGTTGAGCTCCAGTCTATGAAGCTCTTGAACAGCTAGTTGAATAAAAATAGAAAGCGCGTCTGTCTCTCAGATGAAGGATCGAGCCTCCACCACCACGTCTTGCGCTGAATGACCCACATGGGTTTAGCGCTTAACATTATTATTAATAATTATCTCGAGGTTTTGAGCAATAGTTACTATGTCTCTTGCCTGTGTTGGTATAAGAGGCTGAAGTTATGGGATAAGGGGGGACACATCTCTTGGAACAAGCGCGACCTTTACACATCTAGTCAAAACACAACACTTATTGTGCCAAAGATATCTGCATCCCAAGTAATTGTTTTATAAACATATTTTTAGTACTTACATTTAGATTTGTATTACATATAAACAGTTTATCGCTTGTAATATTTTTAGGGGATAAGAAAGGAAATTTCATTCCAGGAATAAGAATTTCTTAAGAAGAAAAACCCCTTAAAAAGAAGATGGATTCTTTTAAGAGGAAGAGAGATTTCGTAAAAGGGGATAAAGACTCTTAAAAGATGAGGGAGATCTGAAGAGGAATTGAGAGAAGAGTAAACAGACGCCTCACCTCCATCTGTCTGAATCTCTCCTGAAGTTCTGCTGCTGAGGGATCAACAATCACCTCTGAGCGGCTTAGAGAGCTGGACGACTGACAGGTGTCTCTGCTTCCACTGTCTCTGCTCACGTCACACACCTCCCTGCTGCCGCTCTCTCTGCTACACTGCGTCAGTGAGGCCGTCGTTGACACGTGGTTGTGGGTATGGGCGGGGGTGAGGGGCGTGATGGGCGTAATGGGCGTGGTGAGCTTGCGGAGGGAGGCGTAGGAATTGATGGTGACGGACGATGGAAGGGTGTAAGTATTGTTGTTGGGTGTTGCAGCTCTCAGCAATGTGGAGTTGGTAAGAGGGCGAGTCTTAACACCCAGGTCGTTAATGCTGCAACACACCCCAAAGAATATATTAGGCTATTGAATATATATATATATATATAATATATATATATATATATATATATATATATATATATATATATATATATATGTGTGTGTGTGTGTGTGTGTGTGTGTGTGTGTGGTGTGTGTGTGTGAGTGTGTGTGTGTGTGTGTGTGTGTGTGTGTACTCACCTAGTTTGTATTCACCTAGTTGAGGTTGCGGGGGTCGAGTCCGAGCTCCTGGCCCCGCCTCTTCACTGATCGCTACTAGGTCACTCTCCCTGAGCCGTGAGCTTTATCATACCTCTGCTTAAAGCTATGTATGGATCCTGCCTCCACTACATCGCTTCCCAAACTATTCCACTTACCGACTACTCTGTGGCTGAAGAAATACTTCCTAACATCCCTGTGATTCATCTGTGTCTTCAGCTTCCAACTGTGTCCCCTTGTTACTGTGTCCAATCTCTGGAACATCCTGTCTTTGTCCACCTTGTCAATTCCTCTCAGTATTTTGTATGTCGTTATCATGTCATCCCTATCTCTCCTGTCCTCCAGTGTCGTCAGGTTGATTTCCTTTAACCTCTCCTCGTAGGACATACCTCTTAGCTCTGGGACTAGTCTTGTTGCAAACCTTTGCACTTTCTCTAGTTTCTTCACGTGCTTGGCTAGGTGTGGGTTCCAAACTGGTGCCGCATACTCCAATATGGGCCTAACGTACACGGTGTACAGGGTCCTGAATGATTCCTTATTAAGATGTCGGAATGCTGTTCTGAGGTTTGCTAGGCGCCCATATGCTGCAGCAGTTATTGGTTGATGTGCGCTTCAGGAGATGTGCCTGGTGTTATACTCACCCCAAGATCTTTTTCCTTGAGTGAGGCTTGTAGTCTCTGACCCCCTAGACTGTACTCCGTCTGCGGCCTTCTTTGCCCTTCCCCAATCTTCATGACTTTGCACTTGGTGGGATTGAACTCCAGGAGCCAATTGCTGGACCAGGTCTGCAGCCTGTCCAGATCCCTTTGTAGTTCTGCTGGTACTTCGATCGAGTGAATTCTTCTCATCAACTTCACGTCATCTGCAAACAGGGACACCTCAGAGTCTATTCCTTCCGTCATGTCGTTCACAAATACCAGAAACAGCACTGGTCCTAGGACTGACCCCTGCGGGACCCCGCTGGTCACAGGTGCCCACTCTGACACCTCGCCACGTACCATGACTCGCTGCTGTCTTCCTGACAAGTATTCCCAGATCCATTGTAGTGCCTTCCCTGTTATCCCTGCTTGGTCCTCCAGTTTTTGCACCAATCCTTGTGTGGAACTGTCAAACGCCTTCTTGCAGTCCAAGAAAATGCAATCCACCCACCCCTCTCTCTCTTGTCTTACTGCTGTCACCATGTCATAGAACTCCAGTAGGTTTGTGACACAGGATTTCCCGTCCCTGAAACCATGTTGGCTGCTGTGTGTGTGTGTGTGTGTGTGTGTGTGTGTGTGTGTGTGTGTGTGTGTGTGTGTGTGTGTGTGTGTGTGTGTGTGTGTAAAACTGGTCAATTAGCAAGAACTCATTTAAAATTATGTCTTTTCTAAAATTTTCTCTACGTTTAAAGATACATTTTTTCCTTAATGCTAATGTAAAAATTAGTAATTTTGTACCAAAAGAACCTTAGAAAACTGACCTAGCCTTATTATAACAAGAGCAATTAAATTTAGTCTAATCCAACTAAATAGGTTTTACATAAGTTGGCAACAATAATTTGATAATAAGCAAACAATGAAATATTCTTTTCTCGTTGCGAAATTATTGCATACACAAATTTTCG